ATGATGGGTCTATTTTGTTAATCACTTCACGAATTTTTAGTTTAATGGCTGCAATCGTCTTTAACATAACCCTATAAAATAATAATCCAACGGTTTAATCACAAGATGGAGCTGGCCACTCAACGGCTGAATTTCTTGAAATTATGCGATCGGGAAATTTGGTTTGCAATAAATTTATTATTTCGGGGTCTGTGTGACTTGTGCCGTTGGCATTGGGCCGTTTTTTTTCGAAAATTCGTCTCGAACTGCGGTTACGGTCAATGGATTATGCTATCGAGAGATGTTAACAACTGTAATATTAAATTTCTATCAGTGGTAGTGACATACTAACTCAGCTATTGCCCAAGCGTTTGCATTTGCTCCAGTACAAATCGATTGAGTAAAAAGTATCTCTGACAAATTCCAACAGAAATTCTTCACAGCACAAAAGATAGAATCTAAAAACGTCTGCGTTAATAATTAATTTTATACGCGTGTGTGGATTGGGTCGACGATCCCTTTACGAGTGTCCTTACGAGGTTGGATTAACTGTTCATGTTTGTACCTGTTTGACGGCTTAGAAGAGTTTGTTTACTGTTAGATATGTCTTGTAGCATTATATATTAGTTGGAAAAAAAATGCAGGTATCTACTGTGGTGAATTGACAACATCAGACTATGTAAATTTTAAGGAGCTCTCCTGGTCATAGTACATTTTTATTGATCTCACCCGAGGGGGTCGATTCAGAATCTTACGATAACTCAGTTGTCGACCTGCTCGATTTGATATCGTTCAAATCAAATAATCATTTATTCCACAGGTAAAAGTTTTACACTTGAAAACGTCATTTTTTAAGCTACTGCTCGTTAACTGCCTCTGGCCGAACGGTTACCATGCCGGACTGCCACGCAGAGGTCCCAGGTTCGATTCCCGGGCCGGGAGAAATATTTGTGTGATCTATATAGAAATATTTGTTTCTCTCGTGAGTTTGGGTATAATTTGTGGTTGTCTATATGTGTGTCCATGGCACCGGGACACAGGGTTTCCCTAGTGCGGGGCTATGTTGAGTGTGTGTGTTATTATTGTTATTATTATTGTTGTTATTACTGTGCCGACTTCCCTGAGAAGAACGAGCAAGAAACTCTAAGGATTACTCTTTTCAATTAAACTTAAATACATTTTGAATCATATTTGTGTGGAATCTAGACTCAGTTTGTCTTTCCTTACATCTTTATCTAACACGTAGTTTACAATTTTGTAATACGACTTTTCAATTAAAATACTTTTAATGTAATGTTTAAGGTTAGGAAATGGTAATCATAGGGTCGTATTCCAGAACTCTACTCAATACTCAAATCAGGACTTGAGTATTGCAGTGAGCACCGAAAATCATACTCAAGTCCTTGCCATTAGGGTCGTATTTCCAGTGCTTGAAATCATACTCAAGTCTGCTCAAATCCTGACTTGAGCATTGAGTAGAGTTCTGGAATACGACCCTTAATATATACTCCGGAATCCTATTGTAAAAACGTATACAGTGCCTCATAAAAGAATCGTTTACCTTAGAATGAGCTTTTAGCAAATTAATGTGTAGTAATTTTTGTTTTCTGAGTAAACTAGTAATGCCATCTATGGGACGTTATTGCAATTATTGGAGTTGCTTCACTTTTATAATGAGAGATATGACTGTACTGTAATAATGTAATGTATTGTAATGTACTTATAAATGCCTCTGTGGCCAAACCGTCACCATGCCAGACGGCCACGCAGAGGTCTCAAGTTCGATTCCCGCACCGGGATAAATATTTGTATGGCCTACATTTATTTCTCTCGTTAGTTTGGGTGTAATTTGTGGATGTCTATGTGTGTGTCCGTGGCACCCGCGGCACAGGGTGGGTTTCCCTAGTGCGGGGCTATGTTGAGTACACGCGTTAAAAAAATATATGTGTTTTAAAATATGGACTTACACCACTTTTGTAATGATCGACACATATGTGCCGAGCGAACGGCACGCGAACAGATCGCACAACGTAATGCTCGTGTGCAGTTCGTGAACCTTTCGCACTTCCGCCAGATCTATACGCACCCTAAAGTGATGTGTCTGTAAAAAACACGTCTCTTTTTAAAACAGCTATAATTTGTAAAATTTCTAGAGTACTCAGAAATTGGATTACTTATTCGAATAATAATAGAACATTTTAATTTATTTCAGAAGCCGGACAGTCTGGGCTTGTCTGACTAGTAAGAATTACAAGGCCGAACGCCAGTTAGGCCTTGTACTATATGAGTCAGGCAATTCCCGATCCCGGAGAGTTATAATGTATAGTGCTTTCTCAAACAATGCGAGGAAATAATAAAAGATTAAACACCAAAGCCCTATATTTTATTTTACCGCCTTTTTGTTTTAGATAATAAATTACGCAAAAAAGCATAGACTATAAATGGATTTTTTATTTCTTAAAATTACGGACACTGATGTTAATGGGCATTTAGTTTGTTTATTATTTAGTGGGTGGGTTTAGAAGTTTACAGCAGTGGATAGAAACGGATTTTCATTTTCACGTCTTAGGCCGGTAAAAAGGTACACGAACAACAGACTCGTTATTTTATTTTATTTTTTGAAAATAATACAAATATAGTCGAGCATGTTTGATTAAAGAAACTAAAAAAATGTGTATAAGAGAAATTAAATGGGTTACTGGAATATTTCATAATGAGTAAATGACTTTTTTGTGATACCAAGTGTCGCGACGAATAAGTCGTGCGCCTGGTGGTAAGCGACACGTCTGTCCATAACAGTTGCAGTGGCATTCAGAGCCTTAAACCATAAAGAAGTTAGAGGCACTGCCACTGCGCCCCTCACCCTGAGACATAAGTTGACAAGTCCCATGTGTCTGTAACTTTACCAGCACCCTTACCCTTCAAAACCGAAACCCAATAATGTTCACATTGCTGCTTGGCGGCAGAAATTGGTAATATGACTTCGCTGGACGAACTTTTTGACAAGGACCTCTACTTCTACTGTAGTATGTATACTATGGCTATGTGTACGTCTTCCACTTCGGTTAGAATTGTGGTAGTGATTGTTCGAACAAAATGGTGATCATCGTAATTTTCATAAAAAATTCTAATAAATCATCGTTTCCCATTTGGTAGGACGCGACCCGGTACCGGGGCATCAAACTAAAATACCGGGTCGCAACATTCCCGCCTTGTTGAAGTGGAACCGGACCTCGTCCACCACCACCATCATCAGGATAAAACTTTCATCATTTTCCGCGAACTTGGTTTCTTTAGTAAAAAATAAGCAGCAGCTCCATACTTCGCACTAAATAGGCGATATCGAAATAATATTAGTAAAACATTTTTACTAACAGTAAATGTGTATTATTTTATTTAAAGTAACCAGCTTGGGTTTAAAAGTGTTGAGTGGGTAACGAAGAAGCAGTATGAAAATTACCGGGCCATGGCAGAACACTGGGAAACACTGTAATAAATAGTATTTCTTTCTTGTTGCAGGCGAAAAGACTCAACGGCAATGGTGAGCTGGCAGCGATCAAGGTGATAAAGCTGGAACCGGGTGATGACTTCGCCATCATCCAGCAGGAGATCCTGATGATGAAGGACTGTCGTCACCCGAACATCGTCGCTTATTATGGCTCGTATTTGCGGAGGGATAAGCTTTGGATTAGCATGGAATATTGTGGGGGAGGGAGTTTACAGGTGAGAGGGATTATAAACGTAGTATTGTCACATTACTCCATCATGATTTTAGTAGCAGTAGAGCTTCTTGTGAAAGGGTTTGTCCAGAAAAGTACTGCCACCACGTTATTTCTGCCGTGAAGCAGTAATGTCAGCATTACTGTGTTCCGGTTTTGAAGTGTAAGGGAGCACCCCACAGACCTTTACGATTTAAAGCTCTGAATGGCACTGCAACTGTTATGGACAGGCGTGTAGCTTACCGTCAGGCGCACGACTTGTTCGTCCCGTCACTTGATATTATAATATAAAAAAATTATCAAAACTATGTAATAATAAACTTACAGAGATCTTAGGTTTTCGCGGTAGCCATACATTGGCACCGTCTTTCTATCTTTTCTTATCTAATTTCTTTTTTATAATACCAAGCTACGGGACGAACAAATCGTAGGCCTAGTGGTAAGCGACATAAGTTGACAAGTCCCATGTGCCTGTAATTTCACCACCACCCTTAACCCTTCAAAACCGGAACATTACAGCTTGGCGTCAGAAATAGATAAGCTGGTAGTACTTCCCTGGACGAACCCTTTCACTAGGAGCTCTACTGCTTCTAAACTTATTTAGCGTAAAGACCCAATTTTGAGGTGATGCACTTCACAACTGAGAGTAATTAGCGATTTAGTATTTTTACGCGTGATGTGATACTTTATTACAACTACGCTAATACGAGTGTGTATACGTATATTGTAATATACATACATTCTGAAAATTTGCTTTTGAGCATTGCCTTGTATGGACAGACCTCAGTTTTCTTTGTTTTTGGTCTTACTGCATGGATATCACGCGTTTTCTGTTTGCTTCAAACTGATTCCTGGTTGACGAGTGTGGTGACTGCCTTATTTTAACTTAAAAAAAAATATGTATATTAACTTTATTGAATATCACGAAGTTTTTTTTATGATATTCAATGAGTTTTTGTGACATTACTCCATTAGTGTGTTATAATTTATACAAAGATCGAACACTAAGAAATGTCCCTCGATCTGGCTGGATTCGAACAAGCGACCTCGCCATATCGTGGCTGAGTATGGTACCGTAGTGGCGTACTGTAGCGTCGTTCTGCCAACTGAGCATACAGGTAGACGAAATTCTTCTGTCTGTCTGTTATAAATATATGTATTGGGTTTTTTCGGCTTTCAACGCAGTAAGCGACATCTTGCGAGAGATTTATGAACCTTCTCACTCCTCCGGTACCTTTACATTTAATAGTTTCAAATACTCCGCGGCGAAACTTTGGTACCAGTGCGTTCCTCACAATCCGTTTGTACTTTCACAAATAAATTCAGAGAGCACATTTCAATACTGCAAAATACGCCTGGAGAAATTGTATTTGTATAACGCAAAGAGAAACATAAAATACATAAAGACATAGTGAATATTTTATTTTTCTGATCTAATTGAGTTATTTATATGTTGTACCCATTCTAATGCGCGTCCACAATTTTTGGTTTTCTTTTTATTTTGTTTATAATTTTTATTTTTAAATCGGCCACTTCAAAAAGGGTACACTGAAAACCAGCGCTGTGGCTCCGCCGCAGTATTTGCTGAGTTGGGCCCGTTTCAGTACAATACACGTTAAGCATAAAATCATATTGTACTTGTAACATGTGTTTGTGCTGAATAAATTTATTTTCTTTCTTTCTTTCTAACATGTATTTGCACATCTATATTCTATTGTTCCGTTTTTTCGGTATTTTGACTAGAGATGCGATGTTACCTCTCCGCCTTAGTGGTGAAATCTTCATCCACCCTCTCAATATTTTTTTCAAATTACCGCCATACGTAACTCTAACTGTCACCATATTCAACACTGAAGCCGTATTCTCGTAATCAGTCGACTGCGAAAAAGGGTTTAGTGTTTGTAAACACCGGATTCAATGTCCGATTTGAACCATTCTTATTGTAAACGACATAGAATTGAATTTAAGTCTTCAATGTCCAGCTTGACTTGCTTAACGTTGTATGTAAATTTAAATGTTAATCGTTCGTTAAATCGTACAAAATACCTAAATGTTTTACTGTAAACAAGATGCAAACCAACTGACCCGATTTTTCCGCCATAATCGTTTTCAAAGCATTCTCACCCCTGCTCCGAAACTGAAACAACCACGCTATATATCGATTTCAATATTGAAACATTTATAATAGCGAATGGCTATGGGGTGAAATTCCCTGCTTGCAGACTTCTCAACTTAAGGCTCAATTTACACAGCTCGAAAGTAGAAGACGAATACCTAACATTCCAGCTACTTGGAATGGACCAGATACATTGAATCCATGGCCAAAAATGCAGCCAGGAAGCTTGGCATCCTTTTCACGCTGAGGCGTTACTTCACACCGGGACAGTTGCTTCAGCTGTACCAAGCACAGTCCGATCGTGTATGGAGTACTGCTGCCACTTATGGAATGGCTCTGCTAAATGCCAACTGGCCACCTTGGATTCAATCGACAAGCGTGCCAAAAGGCTTATAGGTGACTCGGAATTAGTTGAGGTGAAGCTGCAGAGCCTTGAACATCGCCGTAAAGTTGCCTGCTTATCGGTATTCTACAGGATATATCACAGAGAGTGTGCGCTGGAATTGCATAATTTGATTCCGCCTTCCCCTTTCCATCATCGGGGGACTAGACGTGGGCTGGGATTCCACCCCTACGTTGTGGATATTCCCAGGATTCGCACGAAACGTTTCGCTTTCACATTTGTATGGCGTGCGGCTAGGGAGTGGAATTTAATATAACTTGGACCTTTTCAAGGCGAGAGTGAATAGGAATTATTTATTGGAAATGAAACTATTTTTCCGGATTTAAATCGCGTATATTTGTTTTTTCAAACAAACCGACGTTTCGGGCCCTTTACAGGAGGTTTTAGTTTATTCTAATTTCTATTAATAATTAATAATAAATTAAACTTAATAAAAATTCATTCAATAAAATAATTTGTAAAATTTAATGTAGCGTAAATTGGAATGTAAAAAATCTTTGTAAAATTAAAAATAAGGTATTTAATTAATAACTATTGTAACTACAGTGAAAAAATAGGGTGGTTTGCATTAATATTAGACATAACTGGTTGAAGACTGTACCACCTCAGTCAACTGTGACCATGGGACCTGTAAATGTCCCGAAACGCGATTTAAATCCGGAAAAATAGTTTCATTTCCTATACGTAATAATCGCCAAAACCTAAGAACTCGATAGGAATTATTTAGTTGTGAGTCGACCTCATCATCACTTTCCATCAGGTGAGATGGAGGTCAAATACACTTATTTTTGATTAAAACAAAGAATAAGAACGTTTGTGAAGTATAAGTTTTAATATAGTTGTTGCTTTGTACGCAGGACATCTACCACGTGACAGGGCCCCTGACCGAGCTCCAGATCGCCTACATGTGCCGTGAGACTCTTACTGGTTTATCCTACTTGCACAGTATGGGCAAGATGCATCGGTAAGTTGATATTTATACTTCTACCAGCCTGTATGAATTGTAATGGCACTGAAACCGCGTGAAGTCGCCAACCCGCATTTAAACATCTTCAGTGGGCGTATACAATGGACCAATAATTATAAGGACTGCTAAACGCAGATACAGACAGTATCTTGTTTTTCAAAGCTAGCATTAGGGCAACCCTGTGTCGCGGGCGCCATGGACATAGGCAACCACAAATTACACCCAAACTCACGAGAGAAATAAATGTATGCCATACAAATATTTCTCCCGGCCCGGGAATCGAACCTGGGACCTCTGCGTGGCAGTCCGATATGGTAACCGTTCGGCCACGGAGGCAATTTTTTTTTTTAAATTGTAGGATCTCCACCAGTGGGGATTTTTGGAACACACCTTTCATATTTGATATGTTACGTATTCTATATATGTATATTTTACATGTAAATTATGTATCACAATTATTTATAATCTTTTATCCTACCTGTTTTTAATCTCATCTTGTTATGTCACGCACTGCCTGTTAATTGTTATGAACCTGGCTCTCCGGTTCACTAGTAGAGAATGCCTGATCGTTGCCTTACTTTCTCGAACTCGTATCTTATAAAGAGTGGTTATTCAGGAAAAGCAAAACTTTCTATTTATTTTAAATTTCTTATCATGGGTGTTAATTTAGATCCTTAGTTCCCAAAGAGGTCCAGGTGTCCACGGGAGACTCGACGGGGGTCTACGTTGGCGTGACCAATTCGTAAGCGGGGTCCACGAAAATTTATCTGCTATCGATAGTGAAGAACTTAAATGTTGGCTTGACTTCACCTATCAATGCAGACAGATAATATTTTAAGAAGCTCAGCGACTGTTATTTGTAAAAACTTGCATATTCCATATTCAGTACAACGTGTCTTTACTTTTTTGACATCCACACACAGCACAATCAATTAAATTGTCATTTTTTTTTCGAAGACTATTAATTTGTGGTTGGAACTCAGCTATTTGCATTGCAAATTTCATAGTTAGTTCTAATCTTCATATTTTTTGTCGAGTTTTGGGAATATGGTAGAAATTAAGCTGCAGGGGGTCCACCGGAACCAACTAAATTATGAAAGTGGTCTATGAAAAAAAAAGTCTGGAAAGCTCTGATTTAGATGCTTACTTTTAGAATAGGTAAAACTTACTGTGTAAATATGAAGGAAATGTGATATGAAATAAGCCTGCAAAATTTGTATAAATACCATTGCCTTACAAATAAATGGACGACGAGTCTAATACAAAAACCACGAAAAAAATGTCCCAAGTCAACCTATTTAAACGTAGTGACATGTAAAGGAATATGAAAAAGCTAAAACGTTGAATTTAAATTGTAATGTCATCGCAGTATCGCGCTGTCAGTCGAACAAATGAAGACTAAAGCGGACTTTGACGCTCTGTATACGATTTTAACGTCTTACAAGTTCGGACACTTTTTAGCGCGGACCCGACGTCCATATAATTGTAAGTCAATGATAAATACAATCCATTTTTTGTATTTCAGTAACTTTGTGCATTGAAATACGAGTTTCAGAAAGTAAGGCGATGGCATTAAGTTTGCCATTTTTTCTCTTTTCTGCGCGTTAAGGTTTACGTAAATAAAAGCTTTTTCTGTAGTATTCATGTATTGCAATTTTACATTTACAGTGACATAAAAGGCGCGAACATCCTTCTAACGGAATGCGGCGACGTGAAACTCGCGGACTTCGGCGTTTCGGCTCAAATTACTGCTACAATTAACAAACGAAAGTCCTTCATCGGCACACCGTATTGGATGGCACCTGAGGTACTTTAAATTCCAGCATTAGGCCAAGTTATGTGATCGATAGGTGTTAGTGCCAGATCTGTAGGGCTAGCACGACAGGGCGCGACTCTGGGTGATCTAATGGTTTATTTACATTGTGGGCGCTGGATACTGGGTGGCGAGTTGGATTCCCGGTAGGACCAATTTGAGAAATGAACTTTTCTAAACTGATTCTGGTCTGGGTGTTCTGGATATTGCTTCTCTAGAGCCGATACATACATCTGTACGCTACATCCTGCACATATGTCGGTATAACATTATATAACTTGTTGTTTAAATGTTGGTACGCGTTTTTTGTGTTATTTCTGTTTTTAATCCTTCGATCCGGCCGGATTCGAACCGACGTCTTCTAGCATACCGTGCCGGACGTTATGCCAACTAAGCCACGGAACGAACCAGCGGACCTCACGAATTTTTCTATATGCTTGTGTCGTATTTGTACTTGGTTTTTCAACGACTTTTTAGCCGTAGCGCCATCTACGATCATAGATTCTAGATCTATTATCTTAGATTTCTCACGAGCACACGTTTATTTAAATTTTTATTTTTTGTAAGTTCATACATACATACATACATACATTCATACACTGCATTTAGAAATATGTTTATGAAAAATACAAAAGGGAGAGATATTTCAAAGTATTTAATTTTAATTCAATATAGATAATCAAATCAGGCTATTCTTGTTAAAATTTATGTATATTAATAAAAATAAATCTCGATACTGGTAGGCCAACTGTCAAAACAAGAATAAAGAAGGCAATAACGCAATTAGTCATCATTAGAACATCGTATCGTTCACAATTCTGTCACTTTTGGCAAAATTTTATCTTCTTTCACAACCTATCGATATAAAACTATCGACAACAACTACATAACTATTTCAAATTTTATGAAACCTGGCAACCCTACAAATGTGATTTTAGTCCGTCTTCAAAAACCATAAACTATAAGCGACACGCCTATCCATAACAGTTGCAGCGCCAATCCGAGCTTTAAATGGCTAGATCTGAGGGGCACTGCCACTGCGCCCGTCACCCTGACACATAACTTGACAAGTCCCATGTGCCTGTAATTACACCAAAAACCGGTTTCGAACCCATGGCTTCTGCTTGGGCGGAGGTTTATAAAAACACTATTAATACGGAAAAAATAACATAACGACACGTAAAGTAAAGGCGTTATCGTTTATTTTAGATAATATCTGTTTCAACATTCTAATAATACACATTTTGATAACGTGATTTCGCAATCTCTAGCTAAAATGCTTGATTTAAGACGTCTCGCGCGAGTATCGAATTTTGGGCTTAAAAACACTTGTCCGGCTAAATGGGAGGTCTGCCTATATGAATATAATAAATTACTTAATACAGCGAGACAACAGTGACGTAACCGCCAACCTCGTTAATCGACTTTAAAAAAAAGTAGAAGGTTCTCAATACGATTGTATTTTTTAATTTTTTCTATTTTTTTTTTACCTCAGTCAACCGTGACCATGGGACCCATAACGGGCCCGAAACGTTGGTTTGTTTGAAAAAACAAATATACGCGATTTAAATCTGGAAAAACAGTCTCATTTCCTATGTGTCGATCAACAATCGCGAAAATGTAAGAACTCGTGATCCTTCCAATTACAATATTTTTTTTTAAATTAAACATTTTTACAAATAAGTTCTCCAAAACTTCATAAAAGTTAATCGGGAGAGTTTGGTTGCTACGCTTGATGTCACTGTCACATAAAACATTACATTCAGTTACCTACATTACAGTTTCTCAATATTTACCTACATTGTATTTAACAAATATTTTTTTTATTTCATTTGTAACACACTTTTTACTACCTTTAAGGGTTCTTAAGCGTAACGGAAGACAGTTAAACATTGTTGGAATTAAATAGTCCATAGTTCTTTTAACATTTACACGTATGTTATATTAGTATATAGTGACCATATGACCTGACCTATAGGTATGGTGCCAGTTACCTCTGTTTATTAATGCTTCTGTGTTCTGCAGGTTGCAGCAGTCGAACGAAAAGGTGGCTACAATCAACTATGTGATATTTGGGCGTGCGGGATCACGGCCATAGGTAAGGGATCGATTTAATTGGCTCATTATCTTTAGCGTTGTTATCGTATTTCAAACTCGGTCAAACCGTTGATAAACATATTAAAGAAATTTTTGGTTCTTTATAAATCACGATGACTGTACTCCGAGCTATATTGACCTAAAATTGAGGCACTGTTATATTCCTATTACGTCGTAACGTTTTATTTATCGTTGGACGACTGTCGCGTCTAGCCTGTTCCCATATTACGACTATCTGTCGTGACTGTGTCGTGGGCGTTCGTTTATTTTATCGTTGAACGACTGTCGTGTCTAACTGTTCCCACTAGATCATGACTACAATTTATCGGACAAAATATTTGAAACTGCGATTATCTGTCGTCACATTTTCATCGTGACGTTTTATTTATTGTCGGAGGACTGTCGTTCTAGATCTTCCCATTGTCACGACAGTCTGTCGTCGTCACGAATAAAACGTCGTGAATGACAGTTAATCGTGTCGTGAACAAGTCGATTTAAATATACAAGGCACGACACTTTAAACTGCATGACTATCTGTCGTCACGACATAATGGGAACGCCCTCTAACGTAAAGTCAAAAAACCGTCAACCGGGTGGAGCGCGCAGCGTTTGCAGCGATCGCCTCGGTTTGCTGTACTGACTATGCAAAAGTTGACCCTGTAACGTGTTACTATACGCTGAAATGTTCCGGTCAGTCGCCACCTTATTATCTTTTCTCCGTCTTGAATATCAGATTTCGAAATTCGGAGCTTTATCTATAAGTTTTGGGTTACTTATCAGTAGTCTGAAATGACACTTTCCAGAAATAACGTTTGGTCGAAATTTCATAACCTCGAAAGTATTTTTTAGAGGAAAATGTTTTTTCTTTTAAACCTAACTTAACACAACCTAATCGAACCTAGTCGTGTCTTTGCGATAAACATTCAACATATACTGAAAGAACAACTGTTTCGTTATAATTCGGTTTTCGGTGTAATGAAAATTCGAACAAACGTTATTTCGGACAAAAAATTTTCGTATTTGTGATAGGTTACCGTAAGTATGATATGCATAAACATGTCACAAAAACATATATTTTTTTATAATATCAAGTGACGGGACGAACAAGTGCGCTTGATAGTAAACTACATGCCTGTCCATAACAGTTGCAGTGCCGCTCAGAGCTTTAAGTTGCAAAAATGTAAGGGGCACTGCCACTGCGCCCGTTACCCTGAGCCATAAGTTGACAAGTCCCAAGTGCCTGTAATTTCACCAGCACCCTTACCCTTCAAAAACCGGAACGCAGTTATGCTGACATTACTGCTTGGCGGCAAAAATAGGTAAGGTGGCAGTACTTCCCTGGACGAACTTTATAATCTAGATAAATGATAAACCCTTGTCAACAGAGCTAGCAGAACTTCAACCACCCATGTTCGAGTTGCATCCAATGCGAGTTCTCTTCCTAATGTCGAAGTCGGGGTTCAAGCCACCGCAACTAAAAGAAAGGGAGCGATGGTCGGCGGTCTTTCACGCGTTTCTAAAGCTCGCGCTCACGAAGAACCCGAAGAAACGGCCCACAGCTGATAAATTATTACAGGTACGTACTCAAACATGTTTATCATGTAACGCATTTGCATTTTGCTAAGTTTCTATATACTGGCACCTATTATAGTATGTCTTTTTTGAAGACGGAGTAAAATGACAGTTCATTGTGTTGTCCTTGCGTTACCCGATTGCAAGCAGCTAGTGATTGAAGTCGATAAATAGTATGTCGACCATCGACTGCACGTTGGTTACGCTTATGAAATAAATAGGCGAAATGGTTTCATTTGATTCGTCATCGACCCGTTGTACGTCCAACCTGGGCACATTACATTTATTCATACATGCACTAAATTAAATGTATGTGTTAAAAATATATACAGGAGATATATTTTAAAGTTTTTCATTTTAATTTAATACACATAATCAAAGCCGTCTTCGTCGTTAAAATGTGTATGGTTAAAAATTGATTTTTATACCATAGACCAACTATCAAAATAAGAATGAAGAATACAATGACGCAATTAGTAATCATTAGAACGTCGTCGTTTTGGGCAAAATTTTACCTACTTTCACAATCTATCGATAAAACTGTCGATAATGATTACATGACTATTTAAAATTTTATGAAAACTGGCAACCCTGCAAATGTCATTTTACTTCATCTTCAAAAAAGACAGACTATATAGATTTTTTTTAGGAAATGAAACTATTTTTCCGGATTTAAATCGCGTATATTTGTTTTTTCAAACAAACCGACGTTTCGGGCCCTTTACAGGTCCCATGGTCACGGTTGACTGAGTCACGTCGGTTTATTCGAAAAAAACAAATATACGCGATTTAAATCCGGAAAAATAGTTTCATTTCCCATGTGTAACAATCGCGAAAACCTAAGAACTCGATAGATTTTTTTTCTTTGAGAAATATCAATTACGCTGATTTTACTTAACAAAAAAATTAAAACTAAATAAGATATTAAAAACCGCTTATAGGGGTTTGTAGATTTCGTATCGCCGTTTCCAGATAGTTATCGATATCGTTAGTACTCAATATCGCTAAAAATGTCGGTTACGTTGATTACGATATGGGCAGTATTCTGCCGTCTGGTAACTAACTTGGCTAAGTGACAAAATATTTTTTGGAGAAATCATAAAATAGCCATAACCCAGTTTTAGAATATTGAAATTAAGACTGCAGTACTAATTAATATGTTTTAGTTTATTCTAATTTCTATTAATAATTAATGATAAATTAAACTTAATAAAAGTTCATTCAATAAAATAATTTGTAAAACTTAATGTAGCGTAAATTGGAATGTTTCCTTTGTAAAATTAAAAATAAGGTATTTAATTAATAACTATTGTAACTATAGTGAAAAAATAGGGTGGTTTGCATTAATATTAGACATAACTGGTTGAAGACTGTACCACCTCAGTCAACCGTGACCGTGGGACCTGTAAAGGGCCCGAAACGTCGGTTTGTTTGAAAAAACAAATATACGCGATTTAAATCCGGAAAAATAGTTTCATTTCCTATGTGTAACAATCGCGAAAACCTAAGAACTCGATATATTGAAATTGTTTAATGATATTTCAGCTATGCATCGTTAGGGTAAGTTCGGATAAGTCGAACACGTTAACTAATTTGAACTATTTTTAAAAGAGAATTTTGTGCTCTATCTTTTTCTATTTAAAACGGATATTAGACCATTTGGCACTTAGCCGCGTTTTGGTTAGTGGACGGCAGAATTGCTATTGTAATTTATTTGTTATCCTGCTCTTCAATCGCGAGTCGATGGCACGATGATGATGTAGTCTATTGACACAAAAAGTTCATTTAATTTGAGTATTTACTAAATTGCTGATTAAACGAGATAAAAATTATGACATAAATAATTTCCATATTTTTTTTATAATATCAAGTGACGGGATGAGCAAGTCGTGTACCTGGTAGTAAAGTTACACGCCTGTCCATAACAGTTGCAGTGCCACTCAGAGCTTTAAATCGCAAAGATCTAAGGGGTCACTCTGAGACATAAGTTGACAAGTCCCATGTGGCTGTAATTTCACCAGCACCCATACCCTTCAAAACCGGAGCGCAGTAATGCTAACATTACTACTTGGCGGCAGAAATAGGTAAGGTCTGCTAATTCGTTCCGTGACTTAATTCGCCGAGTATCTGACACGGATTGTCTGAGGGTGCTGGTTCGACCCTGTCGGATCGAATGAATTTTTCTTAGTGTTTCGATTTTCTTCAACTGCATATCGAAATTATCTGGGATTCTGCGCGGTGTGTAACATATTATGAGTTAACGTTTGTTTGCAGCACGCGTTCTTCCAGCAGGAGATGAACAAGCGATTGGCCATCGAGCTGTTGCACAAATACTCCAACCCACCTAGTCACGCCAGCCATGACGACGATGACGGGGTGTGTGCTTTAATTTATTTTCTTTTTTCATTAATATCAAGTGACGAACAACTCGTGCGCCTGGTGGTAAGCGACACGCCTATCCATAACTGTTGCTGTGCCACTCAGAGCTTTAAATTGCAAAGACCTTAGGCCCCTGAGCCACAGCGCCCGTCACCCTGAGTCATAAGTTGACAAGTCCCATGTGCATGTAATTTCCCCAGCACTCTTACCATTCCAACAGGAACACAGTAATATTCATATGACTGCTCACTGGCAGAAATAGGTAAGATGGCAGCACATCTGGACGGACTCTTTCGTAAGGAGCTCTAATGCCACAAAATTATATTTATTTAAGTATACAAAATGCAAGTCACAACAATACAAGTTCCATTGAGCAAGTACTTATTGTTATGACATCCCTTAAGGACCTAGTCGCTACTTTTATGTTTACATTATTTTATATGCGGAACCAAAAAACAATGCCTCGATTACTATAAGAACCGCTTTCGCCAAAACTTACACATCTTACAAATCTTGATAATGATTGGTCGTAGTTTCAAATTTAAAAATAGATAAATTCTGAATAACAGTAAATCGTACCCTGTTGGCATGTCCTTGAAAGTTCAACACCATCAATACCTATTATTGCAAGTTACGACTTTTTGGTCTTATATGGAAATTTAAATCAATGTGCTAGATGACAGCATCTAGCGGTTAATAGCTGAACGACGACGAATTTGAGATGTTACTTAGTTCTAGAAAAAAAAGCGACCATATTGCAGCGGTAAAAGGTTTATATTAGTGATGAAAGAGACTCAGTCTTTTAAGGCCTTTTAAAAAACCTCGACTAATTTTTAACGCCTCACCGACTATTCTAGTCTTTTAACCGTCATGTCTTGAGTCATAAGACTAAAACTGAAGACTAATTCGAGTCGAAGACTTTTAACCCTAGGAAGCTTAAAAGATTTATAGGACTAAAACGACTGGCGCCTTATAGTCTCGGGAGTCGCGAGTCATGACCCGTATGGCGTGATTTTATATCTACCCATAAGATATTTATTTTACGATTGATGGATAACGTTAACGTATATTCACAGAAGTCAGTTAATTAGATAGAACCAATTCAAGACTTTGTTTATTTAATATAAAAATGAATGGATACAGGACCCAACAGTCAAAATATTTCTGTCGTTTAACCATATTGATTGAATGAAACATACTGTTTATGAATGTATTAAGTGGAGGTCCACAGTCTCTGCCTACCCCTGAATGGGTGACAGGCGAGATTTTTATGTATATGTTTGTTCTATGTATTACAAATAAATTGTATCTCACTACTGTGCACGGGTTACTAAAGATGTTTAAACAAAAGTACCAGGACTTCGTAATAAGAAAAGTGGTTACAGACCAATATCACTAAAAAAAAGAGCACGTTAGAACTGGATTTCCATAGACTTTTAAATATTGGTTGTATTTCATTATTTTAATTTACCCGCAGAAAAAGTATTGTATGCAATTATTATATAATTGGGTATTAAAATCTCGTACCTATTGCTTAAAGCATTCTTCGAATCCTAATTTTTATTATAAGTAAATAAACGTGATTATTTACTACATACTACGTCATTTTTATTTATAAACTTCGGGTTTAATAAGACATAAAATAGGTATAAGTCCATTGCAAACAACTCGAGTCGTTGTAAGTCGTTCAAGTCGTTTAAGTCGTATAAGTCGTTTAAGACTTTTAAGTCTTTTAGTATAACGACTGAGTCTTATTAATAAAAACTCGAACCTCCAGTCTTAATTTTAGAGTCGAGTACTGTAAAATGGAGACGAGTCGTTATGAAACGCCTTAAAAGACTGAGTCTCTTTCATTGCTAGTTTGTATATACTTTTAGTATCAGTAGCGTTCCTTGTGAAAGAGTTCGTCCAGGGAATACTGCCACCTTAGCTATTTCGACCCCTCCTACGTAAAGTATCTAGGTCGAAATTGCCAAGTTTACAGGGGAGCCTTTTAAAGTTCTGACTTCATTGAAATAAACATAACACGTGACTTAAGCATGTCTCAGTTTTATTCGGCGGAGTTCGTTACTCACATAGAGTATCATAAAATCCTCTAGGACTACCGATATCTATATCGGTTAGATGATCTATTAGATGATCAGTCTATGTAAGTAACAAGCTTTGCCGAATAAAACGGAGAACTTTAAGTTTCCCCAGTAAACTTGACAACTTCGACATACGACACCTTACGTAGGAGGGGCCGATTTTTGCCGCCAAGCTGTAATGTGAGCATTACTGAATTCCGATTTTGAAGGGTGCTGGTGAAATTAGAGGCAGACTTGTTAAGTTATGTCTTAGGGTAACGGGCGCAGTTTTGTGAAACTGGCTTTGAAAAACACAGCGAACAAGGTAAATATTTGTTATAGGCAATATCCAACGTACCACAACGCATAGCATCGAAACATACCGGACGCGGCGGGCGAAGAGTCCTCGCCGACCAATCAGGGAACGCGGCTGGCGCGCGCTCAGGTCAGCCAGCCAATCACGTGCGGCCTCGCAGTCTGCTCACAGACCACGTGGTCCCGTCGGCCAATAGCGGACGACCGACGTCGCTATTGGACGAGGATATGTCCGCTGCTGGCCGAGTACGAATGATGATGGAAGAAGGTAAAGTTTTAAGAATATTCAGGGTTTCTTCAAGGTGTACTGTGTAAATATACCATTTTTTTTCTGGCTTGCAGCTTGTTATGAATATTCGTTTTAGAAAAAATCATGCCATTTGCAGCAATTCAATCATAGCAAAGATGTCTTCTTCTTTTTAATGATTGGGCGGTGGCCTTTTTTGGATTTTGTTCCATGATTTTTAATAATGCATCAGATTTTACTTTCGTACAACATAAAAATATTTAAATAGATCGCTCTAATCGGTGATAACTCTGTGCGGTAACAAATAAAAACGCTAGCGTAAATACATGTTCGGTGCAAAACGCAAGAGCGGGGGAGGGGATCGTCGGGGAGGGCGCTTGCACGTTTGAACTTACTACTTTACTATAAAATACAGATCTAAAAATTGTCAGATAGTTACAGTACAACGAAGTAATAAAGGTTTTAGGTAAATGTATTATGCTTTCTAAAAAGTTATGGAACAATAGTTACTTGTTATGCAAGGCTGGAAAGTTGTTGTTTGACACGAGTGCTTGTCTTGAAACCTGAGCTAGCGAAGGAGTCTAAGATTAGATAGATTTCTGAGCGTAGCGAGGGTTTCAAGCCACGAGACGCAGAACAACTTTGCTGCCGAGCGAAACACACAACTTTTCACCTCACTATAGCGAGGAAAATGGTAAATGAAAGAAAAACAGTTCAAATAAAACAAAATTAGTTATCGTTCTCAATTTAATGTCAACAATAATGAGAATATGATATACCAACCAATTTATATTACATAAATAATGTACGACAAATTGCGTACTTGATCGTGTCATTATGTTTTTTTTCATCGAAAGAAATAGTTAGGTGCACCACAGCCCATCGTCAAGTTCGAATTTCAAAAACCTTTTCCAAGCTAGCGTGGGAAAAACGCTTTAGCGCGCAGTAAGCGTAAGATATAAATAAAAAGTAAAAAAAAATAAAATATTATTTCATACGAGTTCCATAATTTGTTAGTAATAATAATAAGAAAAGTGCTTATAAATTAGTGTTAGTAGTTTTTTTTCTTTATGTAGCACTGCAAGTTTATTAGTATTTTTCAAATAACCCTGTGTAAAAATTATGGCGAACGTCGCCTATGTCCAATTTTCTACTGTCTAAGGCTGTTTTCTAATGTGTAATCACATGGCGCCGCTGCGGCAGCGTTTTTTGCGGGAATAGTTACCCGAACCGTGGCAGTGAGATGTCTTGCCGCACGAAATCGCAACATTGCGAATTCGCATCGTGCCGATTCGCAGTTTTGTGTTTGGACCCATACTCTTGCATTAGTAGAGAATTACTGGCGACACGTGAATGAAAGTGTGTATACATATGCAAGGGCGACTACAACTGCAGTGCCGCAGCGACGGCGGTACTGCTTTTGTTACGGTGCCGTGTGTAATTTGCCTAAGAACTAAATCACCTGAGTATGAGTACTTTTTGACAGCTGTCAAATTCCGATTTCTTTTTTCAAACTCGACTTGCAATGGTAATCTAAGAATCGGTCACGTATGATGTGACTCAGATGACGTCATACTGTGGCTCTAGTGCAAAAGGGGTACAAGTAAAAAAAGCCAACCTTACAAGGAAAAGCGAAAAACAGTTAACCCTTAATTTCAAATTAAGCTTTGTTTTTCGCGTTTCCTTGTTAAGTTGGGTTTTTCGACTTGTACCCCTTTTCACTTAAGCCACAGATTATGTATTGCCCACTCAACGTGTACGTCTCATTAAAATATATCCGTCTGTACACGCAGGTAGAGAGTGTATGAATCGACGCTCCGGCCCATACGACGACTCGCCGATCATCGACCTGGACGCGGATGACACGCCGGGATCAGGCACAGCCGGCGCCGGCGCAGTCGACAAGGATCTCAGTGCTAGTTGTCACGGGGACACTGTCAAACGAAATAGTACGTTCTTACTTGTTCATATTATTACGCATACCGCTACATCTGGACTGCGTCGGTGATGTTTTTTTGTAGCAGAAGAGCTCCTTGTGAAAGAGTTCGTCCTAAAAGTACAGCCAGCCTTAGAGGTGGAATATTTTCTTCAAATTTAAGTGAGACCTGTGGTTTCCAAAAAAAAAGAATCCTCAAAATCTGTTCACAAATTTAGTTAAGTTTAAATTTAGTTAGTTATCGCGTAACATTCATACAAAAAAAAAACACAATCGAATTGAAAACCTCCTCCTTTTTTTGAAGTCCATTAAAAAAAGGACAGGCGTATCGCTTACCTTCAGGTACACGACTTGAACGTCCCGTCATTGGGTATCATAACAGAATGTCTCAAAACTACCAACCTCATTAAGGCGAAAAGGTATAACCATCGAGTATAAAACCAGAAATAGAGACTTAATAAGGACTCCTTCCTGGTAACTCATCAGTGATACGTCACTTATAAATATCAAGTGTCGTTTGCGCTGAAATTACAAATTAGAAAGCTGAACTAGTACAGCGCCAACAATTGACCTGTGTGAACTATGTTCCAGAAATATCCTGTATTTATTGTAATAAAATCGAACCCGGAACCTTTCTATCCAGCACCCACATAGCAAATCGTTAGGTTACCGATGTCGTCAATGGGAGGATACTTCTAATGATGACTAAATATGGATATTTGTATTCGGGTGCATTCGGAATCCGAAAATTGCCGAGAGTTATATAGAAAATAGTTGTACTGTACATTTTATTCAGCTGGGATAATAATTATAAATTGAACTATTTTTTTTTATCTAAACAAGCTAACGTGTCGGGTTCAAACATCGATTATATAACCAGAAATAGAGACGAAATAAGGGCCATCCATCCCTGGCAACTCATCAGGCAAATGGGCCTTATATCACTTTTAAATATCAACTCTCGTTTGCGCTGAAGTCACAAATTCGAAAGCTGAAATAGTACAGCGCCAACAACTGACCTGTGTGTAGGTCTCCGTGTATTCCAAAAATATTCTGTATTATTGTAATAAAGATAATATCTCTAACAATGGCGTGCTGTTCCATTCGGTGGTGTGGGGAAGACAGCAACACATCTAATTACAAAACAAACGGAATCAAATTTCATCGGTAATTAAATATTAAATATGTAATTTTCGTCCATTATAGCAAAGCCCAAGTTAACTGGTCAATTTGAAGTGAAACAATTGACGACACCCGTCAATTGTTTCGAATTCGGGCTGGCCAATCGAAGCGCAGTTGTCACCGCAATGATATGGCAGAATAGTTTTCAAACAAATTAAATGACATTTCGTATCTATTTCTGGTCATATACTCGATGGATATAACTAACGGTGGCAGTATAGTACCTTACCCCTGTCCGTATAAGTGTGATACATAAATATATAAATAGTCCAGAATATCTGCGCGGTAACACCTAAAGCAGCGGACGGACGGGGCGAAGCTAATAGCGGTCTACCAAGGCGGATTTTCTCACTGCCGGTCTACCAGACTCACAAGACCGATCTACTGACAGCTAAGGGTGTCTTGGCCACGATGAAAGGAAGCTGGCGGAGATAAATTAGACTCAACTGTTGTTGAAAGACGGATTTTAATAATAAATTAATGGCTATTTATACAATTTTACATTTACACACATTAATACTAAACTGTCTCTAAAATATGTGTCCCGTCGGTGTAAAGTGCCGTTGAAGCATTATCTTGTACCCTGGTTTTGTGTCGGTCGCCTTGCTGAAGGGATTGTGCAAAGGTCATTTGAACACTCTTGGTCATTATTTTTTTGTTGGAAAGAGGGTAACTCAGTATTGGTCTCATTTAAATTTGGAGAAAATATTCCACCTCTAATGGTAGAAAACTAGGGGGTGAATTCAGTTTCGCGCACTTTCCGGTAACCGATTTCAATAAAACTTGGGGTTCGTTTTTTGGTACTCTATACTGAGATTATTATTTGTTCGGTATTAATTAGACACAATTTTAGTTTTGCCTCAAAAATACGCCGCGACTTTGTC